CCTGGGATCGAGCCCAGCATCGGGCTCCCTCTCCCACTCCTCCTGCTTGTGTTCCCTCTCTCGCTGTCTCTCTGTCAAATAAATAAATAAAGTCTTTAAAAAAATGTTTGAAATGGTTGCTAAACTAAGAATTGGGACATTTCATATAAAAAGGCAGGTTTCTCTTAAAAAGCAGCTGAATTCTGAGCCCTCACGTTGGTGTGGTCTTGGCTGGACCTCCTACTTGCTTTCTCGGCACCAGCAGGACCGTGCACGGGTTCGGGAGAGCTACCTTTCTCAGCTGTAGAATTGTTTTCTTTTCCTTTCTTAATGGTAAACTTGCCCCAACATCATTTTACTAAGTAAGGCCACAAACCATATGAAATGCTGCTTTTATCACCTACTGTCTGGAAGCCATCCGTTTACTGGCTGTGGATTGCTTGCCCACTGCCAATGTCTCTTCTACGAACAAAATAATTTGGGTGAAGAGTCATCTCATTACCACTGCAGCTGTAAATATCATTCGTTGTCTGAAAAAATATGTGGCATTAAGATATGTAAGGTATTTGTCAGTTTTGTAAACTTCATTAACATGCATGTGGATGTCCTTTTTCCTGTAGCAGTGTCACCTTCTGGAATTCTGTATGCACAAAATTTGCATTAATAGAAAAAGGAAGACCTAAGGGAATCGTGTCTGTAGAACACTTAACGGTGTGCTTAAAATGATTAATGATAATGTTCCGAAAGGCCTTTTACTTAATTGGAAAAATTTTTATAACTTTTTTTTTTAAAGATTTTATTTATTTATTTGAGAGAGAGAATGAGATAGAGAGAGCATGAGAGGGAGGAGGGTCAGAGGGAGAAGCAGACTCCCTGCCAAGCAGGGAGCCCGATGCGGGACTCGATCCCGGGACTCCAGGATCATGACCTGAGCCGAAGGCAGTCGCTTAACCGACTGAGCCACCCAGGCGCCCTTTTTATAACTTTTTAATTTGAAATAAAGCTTCACTGGAAGTTGCGAAGAAATGTCCGGGGAGGTCCTGTGCACCTGTCCTCGACGCTCACATTTTATGGAACAATAGTGCAGTATCTACCCCAAGACACTGCTGTTGGTACAACCCATAGACTCATCCCGAGTTCACCACCAGATACGCACTTACCTGTTGTGTGTGTCTCCATGCAGTCTTACCACACCGCGCAGTGTGGCCTCGCGTAAGCATTATCACAGCCGTGATACTGCACGGTGTGGTCACCACGGGCTCCGTCCTGTTACCCCTTGATCGCCACACCGTCCTCTCTCCCGTCCCTAGCCCCTGACAACAGCTAATCTGCTCTCTATTTCCGGAATTCTGTAATCTAGAACGTTACACACGTGGAATCATGGAGTTAGTAACCTTTTCGAATTGGCTTGTTCACCCAGTATTACTCCCTGGAGATTCATCCAGGGAATGCTCATTCCTTTTTTATGCCTCAGTGGTTTTCTTTTTATTTTATTTTATTTATTTGAGAGAGAGAGAGAGAAACAGCATGAGAGGGGAGAGGGTCAGAGGGAGAAGCAGGCTCCCTGCTGAGCAGGGAGCCCGATGCGGGACTCGATCCCGGGACTCCGGGATCATGACCTGAGCCGAAGGCAGTTGCTTAACCAACTGAGCCACCCAGGTGCCCACCTCAGTGGTTTTCTGTGGTGTGGGTGTGCCAATGTGTGTGTGATCATGCACCCGATTGCACGACATTCGGGTGGTCTCCAGTTTGGCCTTTGATGAATAAAGCGGCTATGCACACTCATATGCAAGTTCCCATGTGACAATGTCTTTGTTTCTTGGGGCTAAGACCTCCAGTTGGGGTTGCATGGTCCGAACATGTTTATTTTTGAAAAGAACTGCCAAGCTATTCTCCAGAGGGGATTCCAGAAAAGCCACTTATTTAAAATAATCCTGTGCTTATGTTTTCATCCCTTTAAAACATCTTTACTTGTTCCCGGCTTAAAAAATAATTTATGTCTAAGAGGCAGCATAAATACGACTTTGACAATATTCTGTTATTTGTAACTTCTTTGCAGTTCTATCTTCATTTTTTTTTAAAGATTTTTAAATTTGTTTATTTGAGAGGGAGAGAGAGAGCATAGGGAAGGGCAGAGGGAGAAGCAGGCTCCCCCCTGAGCTCAATCCCAGGACCCTGGGATCACGACCTGAGCTGAAGGCAGACGCTCAACTGACTGAGCCACCCAGGTGCCCCTCTTTATTTTTTATTCCTCTATTTATAGTTTTTAGCTTTCATTCTCTCAGTTGTTTGTGTATTCATCTTCATCACCTGGAAACCAGGTGCCTTAGAACAGAGCCCGAGGTGAAGATTCTTGTGTAAACGATTCCTCAGGTTTGGCTATTGCAGATAGAGCTGCTATGAACATGTGTGTGCATGTTGTTGGATGGGCATCTGCTCTCTTTTCTCTTGGGCAAGTACCCAAACGTGGAATTGCTGGGTCATATCTTAAGAGTATGATTAACTTTCCAAGAAGTATCAAATGGTTTTCCAGAGTAGCCGCATCATTTGGCGTTGTCCCTGGTGATGTGGGAGCATTCCAGTTGCTCCGCATCCTCGCCAGCGTCCCCCCCCCTCCATTCCAACAGACGGGTGGAGGCGCCTCATTGTGCTTTTAACTAGCATTTCCCTAGTGGCTGGTGACGCGTGCATTTTTAAATGTACTTATTACTACCCGCATAACCTCTCTGGTGAACTGTCTCGGTTTCTGCTCATTTCTGAGTTATATTCTTGCTGTTGCGTTTTGAGGGTTCATTATCTATGTCTTTGCATATGTGATTTGCAAACATTTTCTTCAAGTTTTGTGCCCTGTCTTTTCATTCTCTTGACAGTATTTTCACAGAGCAAGTTTTTAATTTTGATGAAGTCCCAATTTATCAGATTCTTTTTTTTAGCTATGAAATTTACTTGATTAAGATTGTATTATTCTTTCAATGTGTTGCTAGATTCTGTCTGATAATGCTGTAAGCTTCATTATTACAATACTGATCTGTATTTGAATCTTAATTTTACTTTGTTTCTGGTGATCTGCATTTATAATTCCTTTATCCTGGATGACTTCATTCCTTAAATATTTATCTCTACTGCAGATGCCTATCCTACTTAGTTAATGCTTACCTAACTTAAACCTATATTAATTCTTTAATTTAGCCTTTGGTCTTTGTTATGTAATCATTTTCATATTCTTTACTTTTTTCTGGACTTTTAGTCACTGGAGAAAATTGCAGTTAACAAAGTGTGAAGAAAACCAGTTTTCTCTAAAAGTAACAAAAACTATTAGTGAAAAACCACTGGTAGATTTCACTGCTAAGTCCGTGTGAGACAGGGGTCCCAGCCCAGGCTCAGAAAGGTGCCCATTTATTAGGAAAATGTGGAAAGTTCCAGTGAGGAAATAACCCAAAGCAACTTACTCAATGTCATTAAATTTAGTAAAAATTAATAGGGCAAATTTAGTTTTGTGATCATTCAAAATATACTAAAAATCAAATTTAAAATGTTATTAATTATGCTTTATATCATTAATCTCCAGGGGAAATACCTGAAACATCCCCATTTATTAACTGTGCAAGAGGATGCTTGCGAGTATCAGTGGAGTAGCAAGGCTCCGATGGGACTTTTGCAGGACAAAGGGCATCCCAGACTTCCAGAATTTTCCGTGTCTCCTGACCTGTTTAGAAATGGAATACCGACAGTAGGGCTGAGCCTGGGAGCAATTTTCTTACTAACACTGGAAAATTATTGAGAGGTGAATCCTGCTGCTAAAATACTATACAAAGTATAAATACTAAGCAAATACTACCAACGTAATTAAATAATCTTTAAAAAGTTAAACTAATGTCTATGTAGTAATATTCTAAATTTCCTCATCCCAAGAGGTTGTTAGGAATACATGAGAAGTGCTCCCCTAAGTGATGGAAGGGGTCTAGGTGTGGTTAGTGAAGTCATTTAAAGGATCTGACGCCGTGTCACAATTAATTTCTTAGGATGTGCCAGGACCTGGCCTATGCCCTGGGGGAAACATAGATTAAAAGTGGCCAGTTACAGTGTAATGGAGTAGCGATGGTCTAACATATCTGCTTCCTGAGAAGGTGCGTTAGTTGATCTTAAGGTCAGAGAAAGAATGTACCAGATGACTAGACACCAAAGTGCATGAGGACAGGGTCATATATGAATTCATTTAATCCTTATTAAACTCTCAAGGAAACTGAGGTGCAGAGAGGTTAAGAACTTTTCAAGGTCACAGAGCTAGTGAGGGGGAGCTAAGGTCTGAATGCACACTTCTAACTGCGTTAGTTCTAACTCCCCTTAGATGAAGAGTGTAAAGACATATAGTAAATACTTATTAGTTTTAACTACCATTATTATAACCTTGATCTTAAGAAGTGTTTCTTGAAATTCTACCTCCCAAATACCTGTCCCTTGAATTTGCCTATTTCCTTCTAAGTCATCAGGTTGCTCAGGCTTCTGTTATTTTTGACCAGGATCATTGCAGTGGCCTCTGCTTCCAACCTTACCCCTTCCCATCCTTCGTCCATGGGGCAGCCTATCATCGTGCTAAAATGCCAACTTGATTTCATCTGTCTGATTCATCAAGTACCAACAGACAACCAGTCAATAATTATGGGATGAATGGATGAGTGCATTAGCTATAAGACTTCATTGGCCATAGTCTCTTCTCCATTACGTAGTGCTTAGATGAACCCTACCCCATTAGACTCTCCATCTCATTTTTTCCAGCTTCTTTTGCTAACACTTCCTTCTTCCAAGCAATTAATTTTTTCAATAGTTCATTCAGTCCATCAAGTGATGTTGTGGATATAAGGGTAAAATGAAGAGTAGGGTTCGTAGCATGGTTCGACGGGGTAAGGACACTTTATACCCTTCAGTTTCAAATTGCTTGCAAATTGTAAGTAAATGATTACAATTAATACTGGTGTTAATCTCATATACTTAGATCAAAGCCATATTTTTTTCTCTCTTAGTTTTCTTGCTCATCTAATGGCTGTAAAGTTTTACCACACCCGTCATGCCGACTGCTCTCCACATCATCCTCATCTGGCAGCCGTCATGTATTAAAGGTAAAGGTTTAGTGTTTGACTCTCGAATCCTTGCAACCTTACCAGTTCACTCACTGTTATGGACTGAATTGTGTCCCACCTCCTCCCAAATTCGTATGTTGCAGCCCTCACCCCCAGTGTGACTATATTTGGAGAGGGCCTTTAAGGAGGTAAGGAAGGTTAAACAAGGTCATAAGGGTGGGGCCCTAATCTGGTAGGACCTGTGTCCTTATAAGAAGAGGCGGAGACACAGAGCTTACTCTCTTCTGGAGAGGAAAGGCCATGTGAGGACACAGGGAGAAGGAGCCATCCCCAAGCCAGGAAGAGAGCCCTCCCCAGAAACCAACCTGCACCTTGATCTGGGACTTCTTGCCCCCAGAATGGTGAAAAAATAGATGTTAGTTGTTTAAGCAACCCCAGTCTGTAATACGAGGACAGCCTAAGCAGACCAAGACACTCGCTATGCTGGGAGGATCAGGAACCCAGCACTTCCCCCTTTCTCCTCCTACTTCTGAACCCGGGTCAGGGCTGTGTTTTACCTGGAGCCTGATCTTAATCACGGGGCTTGAAGGAAGCCAGCAAGAGACAACAGTGATGCTTGTGTTTCTAGTGCCTGGAAGTCTTGGGATTTCCAAGATTGAGGAGGGAACGAATGTAAATTAATGGAGGAATGGGAAAGAAGAAAGAAAACAGTTGCTTAGTCTGGACACTGGATGGGCACAGAGTCCCCATCCACAGACATGGTGCTCTGATGTAGGTTTCCCCAGACTGGGGGCTCCAGCATCCCGTGGTTGGGAGAGGTCTCACGAGTAAAGCACCAATTTTCTCTCTAGATATTTCTTCGGATTAAGACATACATGGATTTACCTTTTGAACCAGTCTTAAACCGAAGACAATATCAGGGATAACCTTTCCTTTATAGTATTTGCTTATAATTTTACACCTTAGAGGCAAAGGGAAAGTTTTCATACAAATAAGTTTCATTCAAGAATATAAAATCTAGGGGCACCTGGGTGGCTCAGTCAGTTAAGCGTCTGCCTTCAGCTCAGGTCATGATCCCAGGGTCCTGGGATCGAGCCCCACATTGGGCTCCCTGCCCCGCAGGGAGCCTGCTTCTCCCTCTTCCACTCTCCCTGCTTGTACTCTCTCTCTCTCTCTCAATCAATAAATACAATCTTAATAAAAAAAAAAGAATATAAAATCTATCTGTTTTTACCCAGGGAAGGACTGAGAAGACAGGAAGTCTCTGGTGAAGATGGAGTTGATAGAGTAAACTGGAAATAGGAACAAAAAGTGAAGGCTGGTGGAGGGGAGTGTCAGGATGCAGACCCTCCCTGCTTCGACATGTCGCATCCTGTACTCTGAAGTTCACGGGAATGCAAACAAATAAAAATGGTATAATAAGTATTTTCTATCCTTCTTGGTCACATATGAACCTTAGCAAGGACTGTAGTAATGAGGTGGGAGAGAAAAAATTTCATTCATCCTGCACAGTCTCCCTGACTTGGTCAGTGGCATCCCCAGACCTGCACCCCGATTCAGCGTTTCAGAGTGTCCTCACCACCACCCTCAGTCCCCTGTGCCCAAACTCAACGTTAGGCTGGTCTGTGAGCTCAGATTTAAAAGCCTTAAACTACCACCGGGACAGATGCAGACACGGTCTGGGTCCTGAAGACACGGTTGAAGGTAAAGGCAAGGCGGTGGGGCCTTGCCATGGAAGGCTGGATAAGGAGGACCTGCAGATACTGTACAAGTCCACCGGTGAAGAATTAATTATACCTCTTTCTCAAGACCCCTAGGCTCTTAGGATGGTTTCTGGTTTTTTATACCCAAACCCCACTGGGGACTCGAGTTACTCATCGTGGGCTTGTCCTGGATGAGGCAGCAGATTGACTTAGTGATGTGGGAGCCAAGGAACTTTCCAGAGCCATTCCAGGCTGATTTTCCCACAGGGGTACTACCTGGGCTCTACTGATGGAGCCACCCGGTGTGGCCCTCCCATTCCCAGGGAAGGGAGGCGACAGCTCTTGATCTCAGACTCACCAGGAAGCAAACTCAGCATTGCTTTTTCTCTTGACATCATTTCCGAATCAGCTTTCGCTTAGTTTTGAGCCCAAGTTGTGAGTAAAAAAGCCATCAGGCTGAGGAGCCTCGGCTGGCAGAGCCCGTGTCTAGGAAACTAGCCCCCGACGAGGCAGAGCAGGCTGCTGAGCGGCAACCAGCACGGTGCGGTGGCAGTGTGACATTTGATTGTGCTTCGTGGCCCTCCAGATGTGACCGCCCTTCCCTAGGCACGGCAGCAAGCAGGGCTGTGATCCTGGTTTAGCATCAGGGTCGCTGGGCCCCACACACCGCCCTGGGGGTGATAGGGACAAGGCAGCCCGAGGACTGCAGCTGAGGCAGGCAGGAAGTCACAGGTGTGACCCACAGTACCGACTAGGCAATTAGAGGCCCGCCTTCCAGAGGACCCCGAGGTCGGCGAGGGCCACCTCGGAGACTCCCATTCCGTTGTTTCTCCTTCCCTCTTTTAGCCCAGAATTCAGCTGTGTAGCAATGTCAAGACACTGAGGGCCAGGCCTCTCTCCATGTTCCTGGTGCTGAAAGACGAATATTGCTTGCTTACGTCTTGATTATTTTATTTCATGAACCTTTTATGAGCATGTATTAGTGCATGGCATCACGACGTAGGCAAAAGATACATGTAGTTCACCTGCGCCGAGAGACGTTAAAAGAGGTTGCTTTACATAGAACAGCAAATCAGGAATTTCTCAACCTGTGAAAATTCTGAATGCGGAAAGTATATATGTATAGTATGAAAAATGTATTCACTCTGTGAGAAATTCAAACAACTCAAAATGTGGAAAATAAAAAACGGAACTACCCCATAATGCCTCCCTCCAGCCACAGTTTACAGAGTATATCTTTAAAACCTATTTTGGGGGCGCCTAGGTGGCTCAGTTGGTTAAGCGTCTGCTTTTGGCTCAGGTCATGATCCCAGGATCCTGGGATCAGGTTGCTCGGCAGGGAGCCTGCTTCTCCCTCTGCCCCTGCCTGTCACTCCGCCTACTTGTGCTCTCTCTCTCTGACAAATAAATCAATAAAATATTAAAAAAAAACAAAACAACTAATATACTTTGGAACAACAATTTGGGAGCGTTCTGAAAACAGAAAATGTTACACATTCAGAGGACATGAAAGCATTGTCATTCCAGTTAAAGAAAATACTCTTAAAAACCTCCCCAGATTTTACTTTAATATTTCACTAGAAATGATTATTGGTTAACTGGTATGTGAGATGTGTATCAAGAGCAGCTCTTGAGAGGTCAGGCACGTTACCTGCAGTCCTGCTGGGATGGAGTGTGCTCTTCGAGCTGAGTCCGTGAGGCTGTGTCTGAATCATTCTGCTCTGTGATTGCTCACTCAGGTCATGCCACCCGCTGCAACAGACCTTCTAAAACACAAGCCTGCACAGCACCCTCAAGCTTGAAATCGGAGAGCTGATCTCCCTTGACCAATAAAGCAAAACTGGACGTGATGGCATCTGGTTTCCTGAAGTCTGAGAGACGCTAACAGCGCTGGACTCTAAGTGGCAACACATTGATCTGAAGGGGCAAGAGGTTCCCTTATCCACAGAGCCGGCTGAGAAGGATGTACAGATGTGCCGAGTGGGTTCGGGACTTCCCCCACCGAGGATACCACCTAAATAATGACGAGCAGGACATTTAAGCAGAGGTCATATTTGGAATAGTTTTGTAAACCATCTTAAGGAATGCCTTTATTCTCTCCGTTCCATCTTTCTAGAATGCTTTTCCTCGGTTTGCCCGTCAAAATCTTACCCATTCTTTAAAGCGGAGCTTCGGTCTTGTCTTCAGCATGGAGTCGTTGGTAATAATATTTTTTCCTTGTTCTTTTTGTTTATACACTTGCAGCAGTACTGAGATTACAGTGAATTGTTAATTTACCCATTTCCACCCTTAAGAGCAAACTTTTTTTTTTAAGTTTTTTTCTTTTTTTTTTATTTGAGAGAGAGAGAATGAGAGAGAACACATGAGAGGAGATGGGGTCAGAGGACAAAGCAGACTCCCTGCCGAGCAGGGAGCCCGATGCGGGACTCGATCCAGGGACTCCAGGATCATGACCTGAGCCGAAGGCAGTCGCTTAACCAACTGAGCCACCCAGGCGCCCAAGAGCAAACTTCTTAAAAGCAAAAATTATTTATCTCTATAGATATTACATGGTTATTAGTTCAGTTATGGATAAGAAGAAGTTCAGTAAATATATATTGAATGAATACATCTAGCAGTTTCCACAAGAGAATAAGAATAATTACGTTGATTTAAAAAAAAAAATTACATTGACTGCAATAGTTGGATGCGTCCACAGAGACCATTTTTCTCGCACTAGTGTCCAGAAAATAGGAAATCCACGGTCCACATCTCTTCGTGTCCCTGCTTTCATTTATACCTGCTGCTCCACACGGCTGAGTCGTGGGAGCAAATCTTTTCTACTTCATTACCGCTTTTACCTTTCTTCCTCACGACCGATAATCCGTTGGCCAAGCTAAATGTCCATTGTCTTTTCATTTCCCGTTTGCTTTCTTCTTCCAATTGTGCCTTCACGCACTCCGATTTTGGCCTGCCTATCAAGATTCATGCTCCCAGCTGTAGGGCCTTTTTTTCTCCTTTGCACAAATACATTTTTAAGCAAGGATCATACTTCTTTGGTAGCTTTATTACAATCCAGTAACACCCAGGTATCTATTTTCCTTATTGGAAAAACAGCATGGCCAATGGATTCAGCACTGACTCCATATTCAATGACTAAGGATCCTAATTTGAAATATCACCTGTTTCAAACCTGACATTTTACATATAAGGAATCTGAGATCCCACCTGAGAAGAAACGACAGGAAGGCCAGCAAAGCAGCTTCTATAGAGTTGCAGAGTTCTCCCTTCAGAAGATACCAAGCTAATGTACTTCCATCTTCCACTCTTTACTCCAATTTGCTTATCAGGCAACCATCGGTTTTATCATTGTTCCTTCATTTGGAGACAGAACTAGTAAGTTTTGGTCAAGCCCTATGATTCATTTCCTTACTTTCAAGCAAGGTCATTGCAGTACCCATTCAGAGGTCTGCCAAGTGCTGCCCCTGGGGGGAGGGGATGCAGCCTGTGTCCTCTCAACCTAAAAGAGCTTTGGTGGGGCAATGAGTCATTAATCCCCTAATGCCTTTTCCAAGTGCAGATAAAGCTTACAGTTGGTTAAGTGATGGGACAAGGTGTGGAATGAAGGTTGGCACCAGTCTAGGGGAAAGAAGTACATTTCCTTTTCCAAAGTAAAATATTTATTTTAATTGGCTCACAATAAATAGTAGGGTGATTGTAACTAACAAAAGAGAAGTGCACTTTGGAGAACAGGCATAGTAGAGCAAAGGGGAAAAAAAGTGCATAGAGATGGAAAAATTTTGCATCAATCTTTTTTTATGACTTAGAGCAATTTTATAGGATTATAAAATTTGCTGGAATTAGTAGCTTAGTAGAGTAATTTTGAATCACAGAATTTCAGAGCTAGAAGATAATTTACAAAATAACAAACACCCCCCCCCCATATTGTAGATGCCAAAAAAAAAAAAAAATGAGGTCAAAGTGTTGAGACAGGATAAGTTTCTCAGTTCCTTTTGTGTATCTGTGATTGAAAAGTTTGGGTGAATCACAAATCTTGATTGCCATAGCCTCTAGAATGATCTACAAATAGAGAAGAAGCTGCACCTTTCCTAAGACTGCTGGGGTTTGCCCACACTCCGGGGATCTGGGCTGGGTTAAAGGACAGCTCTCCTCATGGCCCTTTGTGCTCCCAAAGAAGCATCAAGGTTATCAGGACTTCTAGATAGGTGGGAGTTTGGGCTCTCCAGACCCTTCTGCATCTCTCAAAGGTTCAGGTTGGTTTTGAGCTTCCCAGGGTTCCAGAGATGCTCTGGAGATTTGGAATGTGGTGCAGAGGTATGGAGGTAATTCTTAAGACAAATACTTGTAAAACATAATAATGTGACTCTTCTGCTTAAAAGTCTCTGAAAGCTCTTCCTTGCCAACACTTATGTTTTATTATTTTTTAAAAGATCTTATTTATTCATTTTAGGGAGAGAGAGAGAGAGCGTGTGCACATGCAAGCAGGAATGGGAAAGGGGCAGAGCGAGAGGGAGAAAGAACCTGAAGCAGATTCCCCGCTGAGCACAGAGCCCGACTGGGGGCTCAATCCTACAACCGGGAGATCATGACCTGAGCCGAAACCGAGAGTCAGACGCTCAACCAACTGAGCCACCCAGGCGCCCCAACACCAGTGTTCTAAAATGTAGGTCTTATGATTATTTGGGTATGGTGAGGCCAACAGATCAGCAATTGCTACTGAACTCACAGTTCTCAAGAGGAGGGGCCTGCCTCGCCACGCAGGGCCATGCAGGGCCACGCAGGGCCACACCGGGAAGGGCAGGGTGGGTCTGGAGCCAGTGGGAGCCATGGTGGAGGGTGGGCAGCAGCTTTTATGGTGGTTTCCTCAGGAAAGGCCAGGCCAGGCAGGGTAAGCAGGCTAAGAATTGGCTTGTTTCAATAATTTCAGTGGGCTCTGGGGTGCAGAGGTTATGTCCGTCGTTGGTACCTGCCCTTCGGGTGATGAGGGCGGAGGCGTATAGCCTGGGCTGTAGGAGCCACAGAGAGGAGGTGGTGGGTGGGGGGGGCTCGGCTTGGTTGGTTTGTGTGGGAAAGGTGAGCTGTGTCCGTCAGCAGGACCTAGGTGCCGGGGCATCAGGAATTCCGAAAACAGAGTTGACACAGCTGGTTTGCAGGAAGGGGCAGGTGCTCTGGAGCAAGAGGGCGCTGGTGCGCATTTCGGGAGCTGCTGCGTGTGGCGCTCCCCGGGCAGCCCATTAGTAGATTGAGCCTTAATCTGCTAAATGAGGGGAATCCTGCTTTAAAGAAACCTGTTAGTCTTCATTTAACAGTTTTGTAAGCTTGTTTAGCCATAACATTCTTTTGAAAAACATAACATATAGTTTTAAAGGTATCGCGAATATGGTCTCATAGACTTAGAATCTGGACTTTGCTTTGGCCACAATCTGGCACTCATCTTCGCTCATGGGGTTTCTAGTAAGAACCATCCAGGCTGGTTTAATTAGGGTCAACATAACGAGCTTTCCTCTTTCCTGCCTCTAAGCTCTGCACAAACCGGTTTCCCCCTTGCTCAGGAGTGTACCTCGTGCTCTGCCCCTAATGCAAGGCTTTCGAGCATCAGCTTCTCTGTGAAGTCCTTGCCAAGCTTCCCAAACCCACAAATAAATGCTGCGAACCATGTGCTGGGTACTCTTCTAAGCACTTCAACATATTAACTCACTTAGTCATCATGATAGTCCTAGAAGGCAGGCACTATTTGTATCCCTATTTTATGGATGAAGAACTGGAGATGCAGAGATGTTGAGAGACTTGTCCAGGGTCACAAAACTAAAGCTCTTCAGGATGTCGTTGGCATTGCCTTAATGCTATTTGAATATTCTGTGCTATTAATTGATTAATGCTGTTTGAAATTTCTGTGGGGATTAGGTGGATACCCTCTGATAGACGTGTGTACATTAATGTGTACTTTAAATCAGAGGGAAGGAGTCTCTCTCTTTTAACATTCTGGAACTTTATTTAGACTGTTCATTCAGAATTTGTTCAGAATCATTTAAAAGGAATTTTAATTTACAGTTTACTTTGGCTTAGCAAGGTGATTTCCGAGTCCTTCCTCTGAGAGAGTATAAGTGCATCAGTAAATAGGAATGCAGGGAAAATTTTAAAACCACTTAAAAACGCAGTTTGTAATACTAGCTTTTATGAATGCACAATACCATCCTACTAACTCAGTCTTACATACTAATTACGGTGAACATTTTCAGAACTGTCTCAGAATAAGGGTTCAACCAGGAAAGCAGGACCAGTAGGAGATAGATACTAAGAGATTTATTGCAAGGAATCAGGTTATGTGATCGTGGGGCCGGCTGGTCACATCTGAAATCCACAGGGCAAGCTGGGAATTCTGGAACATTCTGAAGGCACTGTCCCCAGCCAGAATGTCTTCTTCAAGGAAGCCTCAGTCCTGTTCTTAAGGTCTTTCAACCAACTGAATCAGGCTCATCCAGATTACCTAGGAGAACCACCCTGAATAAGGTCAACTGATATGGATTTGATTTGCATCTACAAAACACCTTCACAGCAACCTCTGAACAGGTGTTTATATAAGATTTTTAAAATTTATTTATCGTATGAGAGAGAGAGAGAGCGAGAGAGAGCGGTACAGAAGGGCAGTGGGAGAGAATCCCAAGCAGACTCCATGCTGAGCCTGGAACCCAACACCGGGCTCGATCTCACAATCCTGAGATCATGACCTGAGCTGAAATCAACAGTCAGCTGCTTAACCGACTGAGCCACCCCGTCACCCCTAGACTGGTGTTTGATCAGATAACTAGAACAACCATAGCCTTACCAGGTTCATACATCAAAGGACTGTCCATCCCAAGAGAACCTTTAGTAAGCACCATGTTGTCTCTTTTATGTTCCTATTTGTATTTGAAAAGAAAAAGTAGTTTCTTTAGAAATATCCTATAGAATACATAAGAGGTTTTAATCATTTAAATGAGCTTCCCATCAGTTGGCCTGAGGCATGTGACTGCTTTTCTGTCATCTTCTGATCCACTTCTGCTCAGGCCTCTCTCTCTTCATGGTCCTGGCATAAGTATCGCTAATTTCTATTACCCCTGAGCCTCAGTGACCTTATAGGGAAAAGGGAATCCTTACAGGTCCGGCCTCCTCGGGCTGATTGGAGGACTGGGCGAGTCAGAGGGGTCACCGAGCGGGTGTGATCGAGCAGCACACGGAGAGCCTCCTGTAATGCTGGTATTGTCCTCGTTTCCCTCTGGTTGACGTCTTCTGCCCTTGAGTGACAGAGGTTTTTCTGCAGGAGACATCCAGAGGCTCTGATGTTACATTCAGAAAAATTAAAAAAATTGGCACATTTATCGATTCCTGTCGAATGCAAGCCCAACCATTTTCCAAGTCTTGTTTTCCAGCATTATCGTTCCGAGACTCTAGAGACTCACGGCCCTGGCGGGTGGTCCGCTGCGCTGGATTTTGAAAATTTCCTGTAACTTTGCTGTTGGGCCAGGTGAGTGGCCTGTCCGAGGGAGGAGGCTTTAACTGAGTATGAGCACTGAGTCTGTTCAAAGACCTGTCTAGGCATGAAGCCAGTTTTTGTAAGTAGCTTCCTTTTGACGTAAATACGTGTTTTATTATCATCTTGTTATGGAGGAAGATACTAAGAGGCAGAGAAAGGGTGCCTTCTCCAGCTTTGGCTCCAGAATTAATGATGCGATGATGCTCCAGATGTCTAGGCCCTCACCTGCCTGGCTGTGGATAAAACTGGCTCTTACTGAACACTAAACTTGCTCTCCGTTCTCGGTAGGCACCAAGACCCAATCCCAGGTGGGTTGGTCAGGAAAAATGCTGATTTTCTTCCCAAATTCTTTTCCCCTGGCGCTCTTGGCAATGGCAGGAAAATAAGATTCATTTGTCAGCAGTGACATTTTCCTCATTTGCTTTTAGAGGAGTGCAGCAACTTTTCTTCTGTGGAACAAAGTGGAAGTCGCTGCCTGTAAACAGAAGGCAAGGGCTTGCTGCATTACCAGAGGAATCTCTTTGCAGAAGTGCTCTGAGCTGGCTGGAGGCACCAGAGGGGAGGGGTGTGGTGTGGTGAGTGATAAGGAGGATCACCTCCAGAAACTGTCCATGGCCATCTGGTATACGCTGTTGTCCCACACAGAGGAAGAGTTTGTCTTACGTTACGAAGTCTTGAAGAAGATCTCCCACCTCAGAGCTGCTCACTGTACATGGAGCCTACATGGTGGGTCCCCTTCTGCTACAGGTGCCCTTCCCGACTCACATTTCAGCATCACCTGAGAGACCGTGAAGCCCTCAGGTGTGACCACTTACATCTGCTCCCTTGGGATCTCTGCCCTTCCTAAAGGAAGGTTCAAGATCATGGCCTGATCTGACATGGCAGGTGCTCAGCCAATGCTGGCCGAATCAGTCAGTTCGTGGATCTACTGCAGTAGGTTTGGATGGAATGGTTGGAGAAGTTAACTTCTTGGTACTTAAAGCTACTAGAAACAAGGATCAGAAATGGTTGTCCCAGGTGTAGGGCCCAATAATGGAAGAGTGTTTCTGATTTATATGAGAAGAGGATTCGGATGTGGACCAAGTACCAGCAAGGAGACTCATTTTCTAAGATAAAGCCACTTCTCCTGTGGTGAGTACCTATTTTATGGATTTGGGGTACCATTACAATGGAATGATTTACGTATTGAGATAATGAAAATATATAATCCCACTTTTCATCTAAAGGCTGTTACTTAGGTTAATGTTAACCTCCATCTAGGAGCTAGGACTAAGGCTGTGGATTCGATTTTGAGTCAATGTCCTTAAGAAGAGTCTGATGGTAGGTACCACAGGGAATAATCGTGAGATCGAATCGTGATAAAGCCACGGTTTTAATTCTAATCAGAACAATCGATGTGTCAAATAATCTCAATAAGTTTTCAACACTCATACAAATAGGGCTGAATTCACAGACTTAGACAATTTCCTGAATTCTAATTCAGAGTTTTACATACATGATTATGGCCCAAGGTCAGTAAATGGAGGAAATATTTTACCACCTTTAGAGTCTTTATCTTGTGGGTGGGTGATGTCTGAAAGCCAAAGTGGAACTCTCTTGCCGGCAGCCAATTAATTCCTGAATTGTAAGGGAAGCTGCTGATTTTCACTGCTGTTTTTTTTTTTTTTAACTGACAGATGAAATACTCAACATGTATTCACTTATTTAATTCCGGAAACACTGTGAGGAAGTCAGCACCATTCTCTGATTTTAAGAGAGAGAAGTGGAAGTGCAGGGGCATGATCACATTGCAACCACGTGGCAGCCAGCTGGCCCCAACCCTTGAGCTCAGCAGCCTGTGGTGCACTCGGGTCCCTGGTTGGAGTTCACATCTGGCCTATCAAGATATGCTCTTTCAGGGAAATTCTGAAAATCAGTGTTAGATGCCAGTCACATGTTGATAGCATATCATCCACAAACACAAAATTGGGGCATGCTGTGCTTACTTCATTGTTTGAAATCTGCATATAGGAATGGTTAAAATGCAGGGTGGTTTCTGAAACAAAACCCCGAAACCCAGAGAAACAGGATTCATCACAAAATCAGGACAAACAAACCTTGGTGATGTGGAGGGTTGGGGGACCCAGACTACCCCCAATCCCTGGCTGTAACCTGATTTTCTCCCTCCACTTACAAATACTCCCTGACTTACAGTGGAGTATTTGCCTCTAATTGGGATGAAAGCATTTCCGAGCCTTTTGGTATTTGTTCCAATTCAGCCAGGCATTATTGACATCTTCCTGGAAATTGCACAATATTCTTTCATTTATTTTAACACTGGGATGTGTTTCATATGAGAAGACTCACTGTGTTTTTTTGTTTTGTTTTATTTTTAAGTTTCTGTATCTTCCCCCACCCTCCAAGTTTGGATGAATAAATATGAAAAGAAAGATATGAGGATATAAAATATAGAAAAATGACATGGATCTTGAAGTGTCAGTTCCACTGGGCTAGGTCATATTCGTGCAGTGCAGCTTGCTGCATAGGAATTGTTTATTTTTCTGGAATGCATGTAGGAACCAAAAACAAAGGGTACTAAATAATAATGATTAATATAAACATAAGAACAGTTTCTAAAATCCAGGTTGGTTATCATATCCTGGGTGAGAGTTCCAGCAAATCTAAACAGCTGGCAGCAGGAATTTTCTATCAGTTTAGAAATACAGTCCTAACGGTTCATCATGTCCAGGGGGGTTACCCAGTAACACACGGAGGCAAAGTTCACTTGAAGAAGGAGGAAGAGTCATCTTTTTTTTTTTTCTATTTTTTTTAAAGATTTTATTTATTTATTTGAGAGAGAGAATGAGATAGAGAGAGCATGAGAGGGGGGAGGGTCAGAGGGAGAAGCAGACTCCCCGCTGAGCAGGGAGCCCAATGCGGGACTCAATCCCGGGACTCCAGGATCATGGCCTGAGCCGAAGGCAGTTGCTTAACCAACTGAGCCACCCAGGCGCCCCAGGAAGAGTCATCTTGAGAGGGTTTACTTTCAACGCTGATTGGCGTGGAGCTCAGGCAAGCGACAGCCATCTTGCCACTTGGTATTAAATGATTCACTCCATCAGTGACAGAGGGCATGGAAATTGTGTCATACCCAGAGAGTACAAGTGGAGCTTTCTTAGGATGCAGAAATGCAGGAGCAATGTGGGCATTTAATAATATCATGAGTGGAGGGGTTTCACTAAGGGTGAAAATACCTCCCACAAAGTCTCCTTGTCAAGGTTGCTGACATGATTACGTGCTTAACAAGAGTTCACTAATGACTGACATGCACTGTACAAATGAAGAACCTTGGGTGGCCAACATAAGTCTGAAACAATAGTCAATCTCAATAGAATCCAAAAAAAAAAAAAACCCAAATAAAAATGGGAGGTAATTTTCCATCTGGCAGAGATTAAAAAGGGACGATAATGGTTAGTGCCTGTGAGGGCATCAGGAAATATCAGCTCACACCTGCATGGTGCAAGTATGAACTGATAAGAAACTCATCTACTGCCTTCTCAGAAATATTAATATATAAATATATATAGCAGTATTAATTAAAGCTATAACTTCTTATTTTTATTGCCCAGGAACTACAAATGATAGGAACTTATATATCCTCATAGTAGGAAGATGGTATAATGGTTTATGGTATATCCCTACAATAAAATGCACTGTAGAGATTACAGATGAGAGTACATATAGAAGAACAGTCAAGGCCTATAAGGATACTCAGAATGTATTTGTGGTGGGCAGAATAATGTTCCCCCAGAAGGCATCCGTGTCTGTGTCTGGAACCTGGGCTTCTGTTCTGTTACATGGTAAAGGGGAATTAAGGTTTCAGATGGAACTATGGTGGCTAATTAGTTGAACAGGAGTTGGGAAGATTATCCTGGGCCCCATGTAATCACAAGGGTCTTTATAAGTGAAAGAGGGAGGCAGGAGAGTCCAAGTCGGGGTGATTCAGGCTGAGAGCAGCTCCGTTGACCAGTGCAGGCTGCGAAGATGGAAGGGGCCACAAGCTGAGGCCTGCAGCTGCTTACAGAAGCTGGAAAAGGCGAGAAAATGGATTCTGTCCTAGAGCCTCGAGAAAGGAATACGGCTCAGCTGACACCTTGGTTTCAGGCCAGTGAGACCCATTTCTGACTTTTGGCCTCTAGAACTGTTAGCAGAATAAATTTGTGTCGTGTCATCAAGTGGATGGTAATTTGTTATGGCAACAATAGGACATTAATACAACATTGTTAAGTGGAAAATGTCTAGTTTTGTAACATGTGCACTGAAGGATGAGTTAAAAACACACACACAGGGACACCTGGGTGGCTCAGTCAGTTAAGTATCTGCCTTTGGCTCAGGTCATGATCTTCGGGTCCTGGGATGGAGTCCCGCATTGGGCTCCCGCTCAGCGAGGAGCATGCTTCTCCCTCCCTCTCCCTCTGCCGCTCCCCCTGCTTGTGCTCTCTCTCTCTCTCTGTCAAATAAATAAAATCTTACACACACACACAGGGCAGAAGAGACTGAAATGTTATACAAAATAGCTAAATTAACTGTGGTTCTATCCAGGATGTGGTAATGTTACAATTGATATATTATTTTTGTATATTTTATTATCTGTATTTTCTGCAGTGTAAATGTAATAATTTGTAACAAGAAAAAATGTTATTTAAAGATGTTGTAGAGATCATTCAATTCGTGTTGCTGCAAGCTCTATTGTAAATTTGAGGTATGAATCCTTTACAGAGAAGCTTTTGTTTGTCATTCATTTTAAGATGGAGGTGGTGCTTTGGGGATCTTTTTTCTTGTAGGATAATATTTTTCCCAAATTATAGACAACTGGTCACTGATGGTCATGTAGAAGCCCAAATAAATCTCTTTCACTAAAGGGTAATCACCAGATTTTTCAGTACATTGCACGGAAATACTTTTTACTATTCCAAGTGTAGTCCCATATTTTGATAATGTTCCAATTCAATCTTTAAATGTTTTTTTTTTTTTTTTAAGATTTTATTTATTTGTTTGACAGAGAGAGAATGAGAGAGAGAGCACATGAGAGGGGGTAGGGTCAGAGGGAGAAGCAGACTCCCCGCCGAGCAGGGAGCACGATGCGGGACTCGATCCAGGGACTCCAGGATCATGACCTGAGCCGAAGGCAGTCACTCAACCAACTGAGCCACCCAGGTACCCCCAATCTTTAAATGTTCATTGAATTCTTCTTGTGTACTGAGCACAGAGTCTGCTTGTTAAAATATTGCATAGCCACATGACAGTGATGATTATACTTTGTAGGAGAACTA